AGTGATATTCTTTATAGTGTTTGTCTTCCATTGAGGATCATTGAAGTAATAAAAAAACATCATTTTTTTTTTATAATTTTTTCCAATAATTTATATGAATATATATGCTTGTTGTTTGACTGTTTATCTATATATATATAGAAGTAATTAAAAATATAATTAATAAATACAGAGAGTCGCACCGACTGTTCTTTTTTGGAGTATGTTTGTTACTATTGCATTTTTTTATTTTTTTTTGATTTTCAACAGAAAAAAAAAATTTTGTTTTAAATATTTATTGTTTTTATCTGATTTCCAGGAATTAATTCTTTCATTTTGAAAAAGAAACTTCGAATAATAAATAGATAGATCTAAATTTATTTTACCTCATTCAATCAAATTCTTTTTTGAATTCTTCTACACACACACACTCCTTACTCTTTTTCTTTTTTTTTTATATATTTTGAGGTGAATAATTGAATAAGGTATATATTCTATATTTATATATAATAAGAATGTCAGAACCAGAGCAAACACAACAACAACCATTATTAATGGCTCAAGCATCAATCATTGAAAATGATGATAATATAAATAATAGTAATTCAAATGCTAATTCTTCACAACAAACCAACTTCGATAATTCCAACACCACCAACACAGTTACAAAAAACTCGCTTGATCCAAACACAACCACATTTGAACAAAGTCCAACCACAACAGTTTTAACAAATTCTGAGAAACATTCAGGAGCAGAGTCAACATCATCTTCTTCGGCATTTTCGTCGCATGTTGATGTATCATTGTCCGAAACAAAAAAACTTGAATCAGATGATAAAGTCAGTCTAACTTTACTTTTAGTTTCAGGAAAAAGGCATACTTTTTCGTGTGATCCTAATGATACAACATTAGCGGTTAAAACGGAAGTTTTTAATAATTGGCCAAAAGGTATTAACATTATAATGCTTTAGATATTGGGAAAATTATCATTTGGAAATCTTGAGAATTATTGCTTATTTATCTAATTAAATTGTGTTTATTCATTAATATAATTCAAGAATGGGAGGATGAGACACCAGTTTCTGTTTCAAATTTAAAGATTGTATATCGGGGACGATTCTTGGAAGACACAAGTACTCTCGAATGTAAGCATATTACCTTAACTTAGGATACATACATTTTTATTTAAAATTTTATAGAAATATGAAACAAAAAGAAATCTCGACAGGAAGATTACAAGTATTAAACATGTATATAGCACACATTAATACAAATGACAAATAAATAATCATAATGATTGATGGTCAAGGAGGAAAAAAGAAAAAAAATTTTAATTTATACAATCATTTATATTCTTTTTTTTTTAGCTAACCAGATTCTTCGTGGTCAACAAGTAATTGCACATTTAACAATCAAGAATATTTTAAATTCCGATATTGAAGGTTTGTTGGTTTGAGCAAAAAATAAATATTTTCTTTTAATTAACTAATCAACTTACTAATATTTTCATAAATCATGCACACACACACACACACACACACACACACACACTCACATATATATGATAGATTTGGGATTATGTGGACCAGTTGACGCAAAATTATCAGATAAAATCAATGGAGTTGTATCATCTATTGCACCTGAGCTATTTAGAGGCTAAGTTAATACAAAGAACACAAAAATATATTTATGTTAATGTGGGAAATATTTTCTGGCCATTCACCATTTGATGATTGAACTCATGATCGTTGTTTGATTGTTGATATATGTGAAGATTTACAACTATCGACATTATCAGGAATACCTGATGATTATTCACACATGTTGATATGGATTTATCCATCCAAAAGATCAAACAACTATCGAAGAACTTGGTCAATTTGCCGACAACAAACTAAGAGAAATTCTTGAAAACGAAAATTTGAAAAATAAAAACGGTGACAATAATAGTTTAATAAAAAGTTTTCCAAAATTAAAAGCATAAAGTTGATTTTAACAATGATGGCAGCAGCAGCACGGTAGTAGTGGTAATGGTAGCAATTCGCAACAAGTACACAAACTACATCAAGATGCATATCATACATATAGAATATTAGGTGATGAAATTGCTAAATCAAAAGCTTAAAAAAAGTTATACGAGTAATTATAGTTCAGTAAATAATCTTGATTTTAACTC